TTGACTGTGTATTATATAAATAAATAATTTGTGTCCCATATATGTCTGAAGTCGAAGTTACACGAAGTCCCCTAAATCTAATTTGCCTGGGTACCACGAAGGTATAACGCGCCACTGTTCGTATTACAGTAAAACCTGTCTATGGCGACCATCCACGGTTCCTTCAAAAAGTGGTCTTTTAGGCAGGTGGTCATCCAATACAGGTGGTGCTGTAATACCGTATTTCCGTACGTATTTTGCGCACTTTTTAGCCATTTCTACCAGTAGCATAGCGTAGTGGGGGTGGCCCGCCCCGGGCGGCACTTTTTAGGGGGCGGAAAAATTTCACAATAAATAATAATAATATCTTGTAAGAAATTGAACCATTCTATTTCATATTTTTGGGGAATAGATTCACGACTATTCACTGACGTTTTACAAGGGTGGCACTATTTAGGAAGCGCAATATCGAGGTTTGACTGTGTATTATATAAATAAATAATTTGTGTCCCATATATGTCTGAAGTCGAAGTTACACGAAGTCCCCTAAATCTAATTTGCCTGGGTACCACGAAGGTATAACGCGCCACTGTTCGTATTACAGTAAAACCTGTCTATGGCGACCATCCACGGTTCCTTCAAAAAGTGGTCTTTTAGGCAGGTGGTCATCCAATACAGGTGGTGCTGTAATACCGTATTTCCGTACGTATTTTGCGCACTTTTTAGCCATTTCTACCAGTAGCATAGCGTAGTGGGGGTGGCCCGCCCCGGGCGGCACTTTTTAGGGGGCGGCAAAATTATTTACTGTGAAATTTTTAGGGGAAAGAAAATTTTCACAATAAATAATAATTAATATCTTGTAAGAAATTGAACCATTTTATTTCATATTTTCGTCCACCTACGACTCGGACCGATTGAAATGAGCACGGAATAGTGTTACCATCCATCTGGATAGTCCGGGAATCGACTCGCCGTCCGGGGATATCGTGGTCAACCTGTTGACCTTTTTTTTTTTCTGCTTCTACGATTTATTCGTATATATATATATACACCTCCAATATCCAATACAGCTAACTGTAACTAATTTAGAACCAGCATGCACTGCACATCATTCTTCGCATTGCAAAATGACATACGCATGAATCAGGAACTTCTATTCGAACCAACCTCACCTGCCGTCCGGGTCAGCGATTTTAATAAAGTGGCAACACTAGCACGGAATTTTTCATAACTTATTCTGTGACGAAACTGAATTTTAGTGTTTTAAATTGAGATACCTAAATAAGGGGGGAGAAATTTTCCTCCGCTCCGGGCGGCTGACACCCACGTTACGCCACTGATTTCTACTAAGCAAAACTCGAGGTGAGCAAAGATAAGCGAATTTTTTCAACGATAGGGCTATATTAGTATTGTATTTTATTCTTATCGGATAACCCGATATACAGGAGTCGTCATGATATTTTAAGACAGCCTATATTTTAAAGATTAATACAATATTCGCATTTTCTCGATTATTAAGCACACTTTCTTTTTTCCGAGTTAATTAATTCGACTCGGTTCTTTTTCGTTCGTTCCTCAGTTACATGTTATCAATATACAAGCGCGTCCTATCTCTCCATCACTTTGCTTTTGGTTTTCGTTAGTTTATTCTTATTTTAACTTTAAAAATACCGTATTTTTTTTTTAATATTTAATATTTTCTTAATTAATTAAGTACAATAAAAAAAATTATTAATTAATAATAAAACGATTTTATTTTTTTTTTCTCATTATACGATTTCATTACAATCGCGGAATCGAAAAAGGAATTAAAACTGATTTTTGCGTTAATGCGTTTATTGTTTTTTTTGAATATTTTGCACGCGAAAATTACTTGGATATTATTTTTCTAAAAATATCGTGGAAATAAGGTAGGTTGATACAGAAACTATCGCACGTGTACTGTATATGAGCTTCAAAATAAATAAAAATAGATTTTATCAAACGATGAGATCAGCCGATTAATTGTATCGTGTACAATATTTTACACCCCCAAGGAAAATACTGCAGGTCTAGGGTAAAATAAATTTTGTTTTCCCACAGTTAAACTTCGCCGCTAATTGCTGTTGTGATAACTTTAATACGATCTTCTAACGACAGCACTTTGCATTTCGGACATTTTCCAACAAACTGA